ATAGGAAAGAGTGTCTTGGACTGACGACCTTATGATGACTTATTTATGAAGATGTGAAATTGCCAGAGCAAAATTTAAACAGTTGAAATTTGGAGCGAACTTTCTCTTTTACTTAGAAATAATCAGATGATAGTGGGACACGAATTTTAGAGAATAGACTTCCGGTCGTCTTTAACTATGCACCAGCCCAAAATGCCAAATGAATAATACAGATGAAAATGAGTCTGCTCGATTACATGCCCGAAAGCATCTCAAGACCAGTGTTGGTTCAGAATTTCATAGTTTTGGTTCAAAATCAATACCGCAGAAATATTTTTCATAAGTCAATAGTTTAAATGTAGAATAATGACCTGAACTATAATTATTCATTGATAAACCGCTTGAATTTTGCGTCAAAACTGAGTTTTCTTAATTTCGCGATTCATTTATAATGAACAGTGCACTACAGAATATACAAAATCATTGATAGTGATATACATTTACAGTTTATGATCAGTTATGTTTGGAGTGGGTGTCAGCCAAAGCAAAAATAACATTAATGGATACCTACATGTTTGATTAATCAATTAATATATGAATGCGAAAGTGGAGATTAGATAAAAAAGATAAAGTATGTTGTAAAGCTAGGGTTAAACTGTCCCTCTTGACTGGCACCAACTCCAAAAATAACTAAAAACTGTCCGTCGGTCACAGTTAATTTGCTCCTAATCTACTGGACTGATTACATTGAAATTTAGTACAAATATGAATTTCAGTGAACCAAACACGGACGCACAATGTAAATGAATTTATTTTGAACATGGTGGTTATTTTTGCGGGGCCAATAGAAAATTAAAAAAAGTTTTGCAAACTGTACCATGTGACATATCAAATGAAAGAGCTTGTTGTAAGGGTCTCAAGTATATATCTTTTTATAATTTCAAAATAAATAGTTTTAAACTTATTTAAGAAAATAGATAAAAATTGACCGTTCCCGCCCCCATATCTCTGAAACTATTGAACATATAATCTTGAAATAAATACAGAAAATAGTTCTTCACTTATAGGTTACAGGAAAATTGAAAAGAAATGTATGGTCTGAACAGAAGTTTCAATAAAATTTACATTTGCAGTTTGAAAGTGTGAGAGAACATGTTTTTCTTTTCAACTATATTGTTCAGTTGGTTCTCGGGTTAGGGTTCTGTACGTCCGAATGAAAAACGGAACCCTTATATGATCACTTGTGTATCTATCTGTCCGTTTTTTCCTTTTATATTTTTATTTTTTCATCCGAAGGTATGCACTTTGAGCTCAAATTGGTACAAAATCTACAACACAAAAACCTGAACTAATAAGAACTTCNCCCCCATATCTCTGAAACTATTGAACATATAATCTTGAAATAAATACAGAAAATAGTTCTTCACTTATAGGTTACAGGAAAATTGAAAAGAAATGTATGGTCTGAACAGAAGTTTCAATAAAATTTACATTTGCAGTTTGAAAGTGTGAGAGAACATGTTTTTCTTTTCAACTATATTGTTCAGTTGGTTCTCGGGTTAGGGTTCTGTACGTCCGAATGAAAAACGGAACCCTTATATGATCACTTGTGTATCTATCTGTCCGTTTTTTCCTTTTATATTTTTATTTTTTCATCCGAAGGTATGCACTTTGAGCTCAAATTGGTACAAAATCTACAACACAAATACCTGAACTAATAAGAACTTCTTGTAGTCCATTTTTTGAACTGTAAAAAATATTGTGAAGCTGAACTGACTATTTTTCGTAATAATTCAAGATATGTACCTAGTTTCTTGCCTAAATGTCGTCATGCATTCACAAACATAGGCGTCGAAGTGCATTCTTGACGACTTATAATTATTTTGTAGGTTTTGAAACAAAATTAAATGGTAAAACCCAGATTGAGGATATGGTAAGAAGCCGTTAAATCTTGTTTTAAAATTTACTTTTGCGATTTTTTTCAGTAGTTTACTTTCATACAAAAATATTATGAATCTACAGGAAAAATCGTAAACTATCCTTTCAAAATGCAGTTTTTGATATGATTACAAAAGTAAATGGGTTACTTACAGCTTCCAATTGAGTGGCTTCATTAACTTCAGTTTCAAAATTCCACTGAGCAGCTACATTATTAGTACACTGTTGCGACTCCTGGACATCCAGCGCCTGCAACAGACTCCTAATATCACTCCCTATAAATCTGGGATCTTGCGGTCTCCTATTTGGCACTGTGTTATCAATCCTATTGTCAGGATCATTAGGATCAACGGGCCTATTGTTGTTAGGCCTCAAATTGTTTACATTATTGTTATCGTTATCGTTCGGTATAAATTGATTTCCAGGATTGTTTGGCCGAAAGACGTCGTCAGATCCGTACTGTCTTCGGCCGTTTTCACCGTCGTCGCGTCCGGCCACGGAATACCGCGGGTCACCCCCGGGAGTGACCCCGTACTGTCTTCGGCCGTTTTCACCGTCGTCGCGTCCGGCCACGGAATACAACGGGTCACCCCCGGGAGTGACCCCCGGAAACGGCTGGTTACCGCCGAACGGCGAGTCTCTGTCGTACGCGGGATTAGGGGTGCTATAAGGGGGTAAATTTAATTGAGCTTTAGCAAAGATTATGCTCATTAGGAACGGAAAACAGGCTAGGACTTTAAGGACTTCCGGTCCCATTTTGTTGATATAATAGCGACACTAGATTTAAGCGGTGTTTTTTTGATACGTATTGCGAGGGTGTTGTTTTTGACACGTATTGGGGTGTACGGTTGTTTGTAGCCGACAGTAAATAAACTTGTTGCTGAATGTGGTGCTTGCAAATTATAACTGACACTTGTGTTCGGTCGTTAGTTAAAGAAGCGTGCAAACAATATAACAACAAATGAACGAACAGGTGGGAGAGGAACTCCCTGCGACACGCCGTCAAGGGCATGACACAGTAAAGAGTGCGTTGCGCGTGTTTGAAATAAAGAGGAAGCTTTAATGAATTGTGTTCAGTACCGACGGCACTTAGAGACGAAATTGGCTGCTGTTGTCGCCTTTTTCTTTTCGTTTGTATTAATTGACTAATTAGCTTATTCGTACGTTGGGCATAAGGGTCAATATCAAACAAGAAAACGGAGTATAATCAATTAATTAATTAAATTTCTTTATGTGTCACTTGTAATGAATATACTTATTAGATGTTTTACTCCTGGAATTTTCTGGTTTTCGATTTTTAGATTTTTAAAGTTGATTGTCATAACCGGCTAATGACAAAGACAGAACAGAAACTGTTAGATCGATTTAAATGAAATTTTGGCAGCATATTCTGATTACTACAGTATAGTGGCGCACTGCGAAAGGGTTAAAAAGAAAATAAATTTAAAAATCTGAAATGTAGTCGATTTAGGTGAAAAATAACTAAACATAAGAAAGACATGATCTTCAATTTTTCATCAAAATTATACTTGTATAGTTTTAAATCTATTAAATGTTCATCACATATATTTACTGCAGACGATATAATGTGGGTAAAACGACATGTAACCAATATCTCAAATATAATCGAGTAAGGCGTCATAGTTTAAAGTAGAAAAGCAACAGAGTGGTTAAATGCAACAAATAATACTTATAGCAAGTGTTCAACATGACGACCTACTGATAAACATGAACATATTCTGTTCCAAGTCTTCAGCAACATTGGTTAACACTTGTGGATCTTGGATCTACGATTTTTAAAGCTTGTGTAATTATGAAAATAATTTTAAAATGTTCCACTTATAGATCCTTCTCTACCTTCAAAATTTTTAAACATCTAGGAACATGACTGCAATCCTTCGTGTCGAATTTGGAATAACACTGTGCAATTGAAAGATATCAAAATTCTAGGGATGATGTAGGTTGTCCGATAAGGTCACCATACCTCCACGCACGCACCTCCACTCTGTTTGCGAACAGTAATCTAATCTAGGTCTACCTCTACTCCTCCTAACTCCCGTTTCTTCCTCTAATATGTCTCTGACTAGACTTTCATGACTGAGAAGGTGTCCTATCTCGACTATTTCTTCTTGACTTCCATAGCGCCCTCTGTTCTCCTAGTCTTTTTAATAGCTTTTCATTTCTAACCTCTATCCACGGTATCCTACAGCAGTCGCCTGTTACACCACATTTCGAAAGCTCCAAACCTTTTATTTTCCACCGCGCCCACTGTCCATGTTTTGCACCCGTTCAGCACCGCTGTCCAGACATGCACCTTTAATAATCTTAATATTAATGACTTGTATTTCTGCACCTAGTCCCTACATTTTTAAGTATTCGAATGGTGTGTATGCACACAAAATAAGAATCATTTCATTAAAGTAGGAAAATAAGTAAAAAAAGGGATTCTACCAGCCAGGGTATATGAACCCCGGCAGAAATAAGCGTAAAATGTATATTACATATTAAATCTGAAAGCAAACTAATCTAATTTCGGGCTTACGTTAATCCAGTTTTAATTAATCTAGAAAAAATGTAGCACACACAAAAATAGTAAATACTCGTGTTTTATGTTACATAAAGCGTTTTTATTTTTAATGGTATATTAAACGTATTTACCGCCGCATAAATATCTTTTCGTAATTTATTCAGAAAAAAAAGAGGAAAGAAAGATGGAAAACATATATATAAACATTATTTCCCAATAACAACAAAGTAGGCTAGGTACGCAAAACAGTATGGACCGAAACGAAATTGCTCCTGATACGAATTTTGCACGCTAGTAGGCATTTTAATTCGCCCTTTAAAAATTGTGTAATCTTCGGCAGATTTCGTCACCTAGGACGTACGTTGCACATGGCTTATTTTTAATCATCCGTGGACATGGGCACAATGATCATTTTAAGTTAAACACCACGCTATACAACGCTACATAGTAAGTTATAATAATATTAAAAAAGTAGAACCAAAGCAAGCCTTGACATACAATCGAACAAATGAAGTGGAACTTATTTAAGTTGAAAAAACTAAAAGTGAACTCATTTAGGTAGTAGGTATTCATTCATTATTGTCGGATGTTTGAACGCTATTTATAGCGAGATTTACTTAATAATATACAATAGAAAAAAAATAATTAACATTTTTTTAGAAATTCTTCGTCAGAGACGTTTCCATTTTTTTTTTTTTTGGCATGGTTCAAGGGTTGATCATGCCGTGGTAGGTTTTAAGTCCCATGCAATCCAAGCCTTATAAATGACATTATAATCTCACATAACTCAATATTAAGTTGTTTGTTTATTACCATTTCATGTCTTAACTACTCAATCGTTTATCATGAAATTGTTACTGTTACGGATATAGAAAAGGACATAGGGTACGTTGCACATTTCTTTGCTTCTCGATAAAGATACTGGACAGTATTTTACCGACATTCTTCCCAAAGTGTATGTTTAACCTTTTATTTTTATCCTGATGATCCTGGAGACTGCAGTAATATGTATAGATGATGCAATAGAAGGTTCTTTTTGATTAGACAATACAAATGAGAAGGGAGATAGACTGATACAATTTTACGATAAAAATAATTTAACCGTTGCGAATACTTTATTCAACCATCACGTTAAGAGGTGCTATACGAGGAAGATGTCAGGTGATTTAGGGAGGTATCGGTTAAATTACATACTTGTTAGTAGTGTCCTACCGAAACTGGTTTTTACGATCGAAACCGAAACCGAATTTCGGTAACGGTCTCAGTTTCGGCCGAAACCGAAACCGAAACTTCCTTATAAGGATCATGTTTTGAGAGAAAAATAAAGAAAACGTTATTATAATCAGTCAGTTTTATTTTTTTATCTTTAAATCACATAGCTCTGCAGTCTTTGACATTTTCACTTATTGATAATCAAATCAAAATCAACATAACAACCCCTCATTTAAGGAAATACTTTAATTGCGC